AGCTGTACTGATGTTTATTGATTCAGCTGATTCTCATGTGTCCATGCAGCTTTAATGGTATTTTGCCTATGCTCCAAATATGCTTCTTCTTTTTTCAAGACAGCTTTACCCATGGAATTTAGTGACACTGAAATATTATAAAAAGCAGCTGGCCTCATACTTTAGCATTTTCACTTATTCTCATCTGGAATGTATACTTTTGCACAGAGTGTTCCAGGCCATCTGTCCCATGTGAGTCCAGTGGGCTTTGTTTTATAAACTGTGGTGCTTCTTTTATGCAGGAAAGCCACTGATAAAGACATCAAGAGCTACTGTGATCAACACTGAATTACCTGCTGTCACTGTTGATATTGGAAGCATGGTGAAAACAATCCAGAAAGCAAATGTTACCATTAACTGCCAGGTTGCAGGTAAAAAATTATTGTGTCTCCCATGCAGGTGCCTTCGGCTATAAATTTCTGTGGGATTCTTTGCTAAATTGATACATACAGTTGCAGCTGGGTAAAATTGCAGGGTTTTCCTAGCTCTCAGGCAAACTTCATTGCTTCTGTTAATTCTTAGCATAGAACTTGTGCTCCTTTTATCTGTACCAAACAAGATAAATGTAGCAGCTTAAGTAAATTGGGCTGAGACAATATGGCAGGCATCACTGTTGGAGATACACACTATGATGTGGATACAACAAAACTGATACACATTCTTATGTGTTGGGGATGTTTGATTAGAATATACAACCGTGGACTGATTCATTTCCTCACTGATGGGGTTTTTAGAGACCACACCACTTAGTTTCTTCTTTTCCTGCCAAATTTCTATTTTAAATTAAAGGAAGGTTAGCATGCTGGTTTTTTTCTGGTGTTTTTTGTTTGTTTTTTTTTTCCCCCTCTTGAGAGTGAAGGAATTCAGAGAAATTCTGCTGAAACAGGATTCTCCCTCAAGCTATTTTCCAGCCAGAGTCTGAATGTCTTTACAAAGGCAGTTTGTCTTATTCCAGTGGTAACCAAAATAGGTTGACCTTACCTGTATGTGGCAGTCCTATGGCTGTTGGTGGGAATGGTGTTGATATGGGGATGGTGGGTGGGGGAAGGGAGAGAGCTGGAGAGCTGGGAAATCTCTTAAGACTTAGGACCAGACTGCTGATTCATTACACTTTCTTGCATATTATGAGGGGGCACAGGAGAGAAGAGAGCAGCTTAGAAAACATGAAGTAAGCCATGCTGAATGTTACATAAATATCTGGGGTGGAGACTTGTATGAAGTCTCTTAGACCCTTCCTTTAGTTTCTTGTCCCATAGCAAAGCTACTTAAGATAACTCTATATAAGCATCTGCACTGCAATTATACAAATACAAATGTACTTTGTGCTCACTTTAAGTACTTATGGTTGTAAGTTTTCCTTCTTCAAGTGCTGCTAACCACACTTCTATACAAGTTGTTACCTGAAAAATAGTACTTGTCTTAAGTTTCACTATTTGGTCATCTGTCCTTTAGCAAAATATACAGAATAGCTGGGCATACTGTGTTTGTAATTGTAAAACACTAGTCTGGAATCACAATTTATTAATTACTCTCAGGGGGCTGAGTGAAAGAAAAGTATGGTATCATTTTTCCAAGAGGTTCATGAAGGAGTAAATTCAGTTATTCTCTCAATATAGACACTAGACACTGTCTTCAATCAGACTGATGTCCAGAGACTTTCAAGGAAGAAGATGAAAGTAGTACTCTTTTTACCCACAGGCTCTGCATGGTCACCTATACTGACATTTGTTGAAAGAGATTAAAGGTTATATGAACTTAAATTATTCTGGATTTCTCTCTCTGGGTTCTCTCAACTGCAGATGGGGAGGACCCACAGATGCAGACAGGGATTGCTGATTCAAGAAGTGCAGCCATTTCTCTGCAGTATAAAGGCATCGTATAAATAACAGAATGTGGCTAAGGCAAAGTTGCCACAGTAATTATAGCATCAGAAGAGTAAATGAGGGAAGCCCAGCATGGTCAGGGGCACAGATTCAAGGCTTTTTCTGAGAGGAAAATCATCTCTAGCAGTTTTATGAAGCTTACCTACTATGACAATGTATATCTGCAATGCAAAATTTTAGCAGTGTCACTGCAGAATTTGTATTCTCTCCTTGGAGAAGGCTTTTTGCCAGCTAGTAGCATTACTGTATATTGAAATCTTCTGTGATGCAGAAGAAATTTGCTTAAATCCTATTTTTCTCCATGGATGAGAAAACCATCTTCTGCTACTGCCTACACAGAAAGCATTAACTATGTTTGACACCAGAGATTAATGCTGTTGAAATTATTATAAAATCATAAACCACAAGCTGTGATGTTACACAGGGAATAAGAGGGTGAGTAATGAGGGTAGATATATTTTATAGCCACTAGAATCCTAATTTCATAGAAATAGTGTCAATAATTCACCAGCACTTAAAAAAAAAGCTACCTTGGGAAGTGATCCAAGAGCAAGTGATTTATATCAGCTATCTCACCTATGCCTCGAAAATACACCATCTCATGAAGATGTAAAAGAATAGCACAATAAAAGCAATTTTCCTTCTAATGTAAGCACAAATATTTGGGTTTAGCATCAGCATTGTGATTATCCAATCCTTTAATATATTTTTAATCATTCAGTCAGCAAATGTATCCTACTTTTTTAGAGTAAGTGAACTTTACAGCTATGTAGTTTGCCAGAGTTTCATTGTTTCATTAAAAATGAAATGGCTATCAGATCATAGTAAGTTAAAGCACAATGTTTAATGCAATAACATGTGGTAATAAAAAAGATACTAGGATGTGCAAAGAAAGTTTACAGAATTAGAAAGCAAACTAGCGTATCCAGAAATTATGTGGATATTTATCTAGATGAGTGAACTCTTCACACAGCCTTGTAAAGCTATAGTCTTTTTCCTTCTACTACTTTCCATCTAGTCATATCAGGATGTCCTGAGCCAGCACAACAAATGAGTGCTGTTCTAAATTAGAATTTGATAGCAGTTAATCACAATATTATAAATTGTGTTTCTATCAATGTACTATATAGTCTGTGATACAGAACTGTGCATGTGTTGGATTTTGATGTCCTAACTCCTGTGAGGACACATCTTTACTGAAAGTCAACAGGAGAGTAAAATAAATACTTATAAGAGAAATATTAAGGATCAGTTATGACATTTTCTAAAATTGCTTTTTCTGTCAAGGGACATAAATATATACTTGGTGCTGACAGGTGTTGATAAGTCTGGAGAAGGCTTCTTAAAAACAAGAGGTAATGGAAGAGACCACTACCAGAGCCTAGGGAATCATTTGATATTGCCCTTTAACTTCTTAAGAAAGGCATAAGAACTGTCAAAATCTGTGTTCTGAGCTGAAATCTATAGATATTAACTGTAAGACAAGGGAAAACAAAATTGTTCTGGATGCATTAGAGTTTAATTGGCACCATTACAGTTTAAGTGATGTGAATTATGTCAAGATGAAACTCTGGTTTGGTTATACCATAGAGATAGTGTTATGGTTTTGATCAGTATTATTTCACTTGGCATAGCTTCACTGCTTTATCTATAGAGGCAAAAGCTTATATTTTTAGCCATAGTTAGGTGATTGGGGTCAATCCCAGACTTCTTCAAAATTAGTCCAAAAGGAACTCCCACCCAAAAGTCACACAGGAGCCTTGCAGATGTCTGTGATTTCCTGCTGAAGGATTTCCTCCACATGTCAGAAAGCCAGCAGCATTTCTGGTGTGGATGATTTGACTACTGTGGGCAATTTCACTTCAGATGGGATGTGGGAGTAATTTAGTTCACATCAGTATCACTAGGAAACCTTCATTTCAGCACTTAAATTTTGCAGATACTCATTTGAATATCGGAACTTCAAGCAACGTAGCCCAAACTATTACTGAAAATACAGTTTGACATGAAAGGAAACAGTTTTAAAAATCTACTTCTTAGGACATCCTGCAAAATGTCATGTACCATTAGTGACGGTTGAGTCAGAACAGGTTTGGAAGAGGGACTTAAAATATATTACCATTCTTCCTTCATATCCTTGTCTCTCTGATGTTCCAGTTTGAAGCTTGCTTAACTCCAGTTTGAAGCTTCCCTAACTCTCCTCAACATTCCTTTTCTCTGTATTTCACCTACATGCTGGATGTTCTATTTCTTACCTTGCTTCATTGTGTTTGTTCATCAGCTACACCAGATTTTGATGTTCAGTTCACTATTTCAAGAATATTTTGGCACTGGAAACTAGTCACCACTGCTAGATTCTTGTATTGCTATGTTTTTCTTCTCAAAAGCCCCTGGTTTAGCAAAATTGTCTTGATTGTCTTGCATAATTCTGTTTGCTACTTATCCCAGTTAGCCTTTTTGTGCTGGATACGTGCACAGTGATGGAGGGGAAAGAAGAAGAATAGACCTGGGTAACTATTCGCAACCTAAAGTCTGTGCAGCAAAATGAGCTCTATTTCCAGCTGGCATTTCTCAGACTTTCAGTCTCTGTGATGTTTCTGCAAGGCAAACATTCATCTCTCTGTCTTCTGTCATCTCCCCAGCAAAACCGATTGAAATGCTCTTGCTACCCCTCGCGGCAGCGCTGCAACATGATGTGTTTTCTCATCCCTGTGCTGCCTGCCTCCGGTTGCTCTCTTGAAACTGTGTGTGACACTGAAGTTGGAAGCTCAAAATAAAATGAAACTTGTGACCACTGACACACACTGCTTATCTTCCCTAAACCAAACTGTAGGAACATCTCTAGCTGCAAGTCTCCCGTTAGTGTGGAAATATTAAAGACAGAGGGAGAACACACTTTTAGAAGTCAGAAAAAGGGTTTTGTAGAGTTGTTGGGCATTTTGTAGGTACAGCACATCTTTCCTAAACTTAACAGCAAAACCTCAACATTAAGGGGTTCTTATTTTTAACCTCTTTTTCTTCTGCTGCTAATGACATGCAGAGGAATCTGCCTTTCTGGACTAAGACTATCTCAGCAGCTGCCTGCAAGAAGCATATTAATAGTTTCTGTCTCTGTATTTATTTAATTATTTTATTTGAGTCCCTGCTCTTAAGGACTGTGGCCATATGAAATCCTCATTGTCCCTTCCCCCCTTTTTTTACCCTTCTCAGTACTCCTTATCTCTTCCTCTTTCCCCACTATTTGCCTTACAAGTACTTTTTGCCTTGTAATTCTTACCTGTCTTCAATTTTACCAATGTTTTTCCAGGTGTTCCTGAAGCAAAAGTTACTTGGTTTAAGAACAAGGTCAAGCTGTTCTCTGCTCACCACCTGCATGATGGGTTGCTGATAATCGCAAATGTTTCTCGGTCAGACCAGGGGTTGTACTCCTGCAAGGCAGCCAATCTTCATGGGGAGGTAACTGAAAGCTCCCAGCTGTTGGTTCTTGGTAAGTCCAGGGTATTTTGCATTTGCAACAATAGTAATGTGGCTACTAGCACATCCAGACAGCAGAACTAATCAGAGGTTGTGGAAGGAGGAAATGGCATGCGGCAGCCCTGTCCTAAGAAGAGAATCAGACTGCATTTGTGCTCTGGGCAGCATCAGCTAAAGCAAGTTGGTGGTAAAAGGAAGGTGGATAAGGAGAAAATGTCTAAGGACAGGGGACTGCACCTCCCAGTCCCAAGATATTGAATTTAAGTCTTTCAGACTTACTAGCTAAGAAAAGCATTTATTAACCATATCTAAAAGTGACTCTCTTGAAAATGAGCGTGATGCCACTTTTTCCCTGTACAGCCCTCTGCCTCTGCTGAGCAGTCTTTCCATTCATCTCTCTGTGATTCTGACCCATTTCACAACAGGCGCATAAACCCAGAGCACTTTTAAAAAGCACTTCCCAAGTTCAGTGAATGGTGAAGTTTACTTTTTCTTGTTTTTCTAAACAACAGACAGAAAGCCCAGCTGGGTGATTTGAAAAGACAATATCAGCTGTGAAATATGAGTTGAAGTGTTACCTGGTGGTATTTGGATGTGTGGGTAAGGGGTTTCCTTTCCTAGTAACTCATCTTCTGTCATTTCTGCATGCCTGGCAGATGAATGATCCAACCCGACTTGACTGCACTTGATAGTGGAGTCTTAAATTTTGAACCCTAATCTCTGTTATTGGTACAACACCATTAGAGTATCTGTTACAGTTCTCATCTTTCATGACTAGAAT